CAGACGTTCATCAAATTCATCAAAAATATCTTAATTTGTGTTCCGAAGATGAACGGAGGTCTTATGGGTTTAGAACGACATGAGGGTGAGTAACTAATTAATGATAGAATTTTCATTTTTGGGTGAACTATCCCTTTAAGAGGAAACGGCTTATCATTTATTGAATCGACAGCGTATCTGCTAATCTTCAACATGTTTTACACTAAGCAATACTTTTGGACTGAACTATTTTTAAGTGTTTACCACTTATCTGTTTTATAAGAGAAGTCACTGACTTTTTGCGACAGGTGGGATTCAGTTTACAGCACTTCTCATTCATTCCTATGGTATCCGTAAACGCCGATTGAGTGTCGTACAAGTCTGCCTGAAAGTCAATGACGTCAAGGCTGTAATGTGATTGTTATGGCACATGTGATCCAAGTTAGCCGTTACGCTTTCTCCAATAGTAAGTAATACAGACCCTCTCATATCCCTATAGTAAGATAATCTCTGGCTTCAATTTCCCTCTTTTGGGGAAGTCGTGGCCTAATGGTTAGAGAGTCGGACTCGTAACCCAAAGGTTGCAGGTTGCAAAGCACCGAACCCCCAACTGCTCCCCGGGCGCTGCAGCATAAATGGCTGCCCACTGCTCTGGGTGTGTGTTCATGGTGTGTGTGTGTTCACTGCTGTGTGTGTGCACTTTGGATGGGTTAATTGCAGAGCACTAATTCCAAGTATGGGTCACTATACTTGGCCACATGTCACGTCACGTCACTTCACACTTTAAATGACAAATACAGACTACTGCCCCCTATTGGTATGGAGAGTTATTTCCTCTCGCGCAGGCACAGAATGCACATGCTACGTAGTTGACCTTTGGATGTAGTCTTTGACGTGTGTTCAAGCGCAACTTTTTGGCCCAGACGCAGGTGACAACACAGTCAGCTTTCATCACCACTAGCTCTTTGATATCAGTTTCATGTGTCACAAGCTAAGGCATGAAATCAAAAGTACATAAGGACTGAATGAGTATTCTGAATGTGAGACAGCTCTCTCTCTCAGTCTGATTGCAGTTTTATTTTTGTCAGCTGAACTATACTTGTGGTTATTGTTCTAAATATAAGGATGAAAAAGAAAAAGA